CCAAAAAGTATTTTGTTTTCATTTTTATTTACCTTTAATTATTTGCAAAAACTTATTGTGCTTATTGCAACATAAACCTCTTCAAAAGTTACAACCATAAACAGTGACCACATAAAATCATGATTAGGAAAAAAAAAAAAAAGTTACCAAGTTCTCAAAGCCCTTACTTTGGCCATGAAATTTCACAGTATTCACTATCAAACGCATCATGCAAACCTGTATAATCAATTAGAGCTACCATTTTTTTCTCTTTTTGACCTTTCTTTTTTGGTACAACTGAGATCCAACCTTTCACGGAAGGAGCAGTTCTCCAAAGTGCGAGCAGAAGCCAGAAATTAAGCATTTTTCTTTCTTAATCCGAAGCGGAATTTAGCCACCATAATTAACGTATATTTTACTCAATACGACGGTTTCAACTTGAAACAATTTTCTGTCCTTCAAGAACAAAGGCTTTAAACATCCTTCCCAATGTACTAACAGAAATAGAAACCAGAAAGTATACATACATTCTGGGTAGGTTTGAATTTTTCCTTTCTTTTTTATCTAAAGCGAAATTTAACTACCAGCTGAGTCGATGTACATTTACTCAATATGACGGTTTCAACTTCAAACAATTATGTGTCCTTCTAGAGCAAAGACTATAAACATCATTTCATGCAACGCATCATGCAAACCTGTATAATCAATTAGAGCTACCATTTTTTTCTCTTTTTGACCTTTCTTTTTTGGTACAACTGAGATCCAACCTTTCACGGAAGGAGCAGTTCTCCAAAGTGCGAGCAGAAGCCAGAAATTAAGCATTTTTCTTTCTTAATCCGAAGCGGAATTTAGCCACCATAATTAACGTATATTTTACTCAATACGACGGTTTCAACTTGAAACAATTTTCTGTCCTTCAAGAACAAAGGCTTTAAACATCCTTCCCAATGTACTAACAGAAATAGAAACCAGAAAGTATACATACATTCTGGGTAGGTTTGAATTTTTCCTTTCTTTTTTATCTAAAGCGAAATTTAACTACCAGCTGAGTCGATGTACATTTACTCAATATGACGGTTTCAACTTCAAACAATTATGTGTCCTTCTAGAGCAAAGACTATAAACATCATTTCATGCCAAATTTCCAACCGCTTCAACGGGGAAATTTTTGTTTAAAATGCAAACGAAAAGACTGAAATGTCGGTCTTGCCTTTCCGATCAGTTCATGATTTGCTTAGAACAAAGTACTGATCTTATTATATCTTAATATGCAAATATTTCCAGAAAAAAAAAAAAGAAAGAAATTTTGAGCTGTACCCTTTTGCTTCTTTGACTTCTGTCGTAGTCATATTCAGTCCAAATAGGTGATTATGAAATTGATGCCTGAAGATTTTATTTGATTCTTCAAAAATTTTGAAATCATCTTCTCAATACAAAATCCGTTTTTCTCAAAAATAACAATCGAGGAAAACCCTTCAGTCTCCAATGAATTAGTGTTCACCGGCAAATATTTCCGATGTATTAGCTGTCAAAAATCATGTAAAATCTTTATTGTACTGTCCAGAATGTGTGTTTGCGAACAATCACAAGTCAAATGCTATATAGCATTTGTCATGTAGTTTTAATTTTAACTTTTCTTCGTATAAAAACAATTGTTACCAATCAATGAACTACTGTGGTAACTTGCATGCAATTGTACTTTGAAACAGGATACGTATATGAAACCATGCAGATTTTCCAAAAGACATAAAAACCAATTTTTAGAACTCCGACGGCCCAACACTCCAGAACAATTCCTGCACTTTTTGTTTAAGCGGGCGGGCCTAAAATCAAATGGGCAGTATTGATCCTGGGCTATTTAAGTGACACGCGCTAATGAGGCATCTCAAATTTCAAGGAACAACTAAATCGTTATCCTCCTCCTTTAGAGGTTGGGCTGACTAACCTTGAATGGGCCATCAATTTGTTAAAGCTTTTTTTTTTTTTTTTTTTGGGGGAAGAAATAGTCATTAAAGCTATATTGGATTTACACAGAAGCCGAAAGCCCTTAGCTAAATTCAACGCAACTGGCATTAGAATTTCCAAGTTCGAAGTGGGTGTATCAAAATTTTTAATCCCAAAACTACCATTAGCAAAAGACGGAGACAAGCTCAGAATATAGAACTCGTTCCCAGTGTTCGAAACTTGAACCGGAAAAATAAATCCGATAAGTTTTCAAATTACGGTTCAGCAGGTTTTCAATTTTTAATCGCAAAAAATATTAGTCTATTAGCAAAACGACAGAGACAAGCTCATGATATGCTTTTAGATGACTTATTTCCAATATTTTGAAACTCGGATCAGTAAGTGAGTCTAATGAATTTTTTATTCACGATTCAATTCCAATTCAATGAATTTATAATTATTTTAATATTAAATTACTTGGATAAAAGTAACACGCACGCACATATGAAATATTTAGTAAAAAATCAGTTCAAAAATTAAATTCTTTTTTTTTTTTTTTACGATTTTGATCAGCCCGAGCAATTCTTGATCGATCGATTCATTTGATTTCTTGAATTAAATATAGAATTAGATCGGAGTCAATGACCGATTCAGGTTTCAATCAGTTGAGTTCAATCCGATACTCAAAAACAAATGCCCGTTTCTTGCGGTCGGTCGGTTGACCGGATTGACGATAACTTCAACGTGTTGCTGGGGAATCGCCCGACAAAATGCTTTTAATTTCTTAGACAAGTGGCTCCTAATAAATATTAATAAAAGCAGAATACTCTATCAGTACGACACTAGACCAGTAGATGTTGTCTCGTATTTCCACATGACTCGTGGCATGCAGATTGCTGGTTTACTTGGCCTAAATTAGTGAATAAAAACAAAAGTTAGAAGACTGTGCGCTAGAATTAAATATCTGATGCTTTACGACGAAACGAAGGTTAGTATGTTTTTCTTCTAACTAATAAAAAAAAAATAACTAGGTCGGGAGTTGCACGACCTTTAAATTAATGCCATGATCAACGGTGGTGGCACGATGTCGTACCGTAGATAGGGGTGTATTCGAGATCGAACTCGAAATTCTGATCGAATACATATCGAGCTCGAGTCGAGTAGTTTGAATCAGTTTCACCCGCTAACCGTAGGGAGAAAGCTGTGTATTATTGCCTTTGATGGAGCAAAGAAATTTTGGGTTAATTACAATATATCGTTCGCATCATGGTTAGTAAATCTGTTATCCAATGAACTTTTGACAGCTGTCCTAGTCACGGATGTGATCTCACTTTACACGTTTGGCTTTATTTCTTTTGACTCTCCAGAACAAAGCGAAAACTGGATTAAAAATCAATAACAAGGAAAGGTAAAACCGGTTTCCTGTCTGTCTTTTTTTTTTTTTTTTTTTAAAAAAATATATATATAATTTGTTGATGATATATTACAACGAATAAGAGGATCCAAAAAGTCAATGAACAAATATCAGACAGAAGTACGTAGGTAGGGGAAATCAATAAAAGTAGCATTGAGAGCGTGTAGTGGCGTTCTTGACAAGTTATGGTACAGTTTGGGTAAAGAATGAATGTATAGATCGGGTGGCTATTATATTATCCGTGGAATAAAATTACATGAATGGATGTGTTGGGGAAAAAAAAAAGAGGACAACCGGACAAATGGTGGTTATATTCATTCGGAAATAAGCACACAAAATAAGAAGGTTTAAGAATCTTGGAAATATGGCTGCGGAAAATTTGATGAAATTTCCATCTGATGTGCCGGTAAATGACACAGAAAGATAATGGAAGAAGATAAACGAAACTCTCCAGCGCGCATTAATGTTCCGTCTGATAGATCACTCAAATATTTATTTGCATATAATTAAGAAAATTGTTAATTACTGAGCAAGAAGCCGTTTTTGACGCTATGACTTTTTGAGCAGTTCCATACAAGTTATTGCTCAAATTGACATATAGTATAATTAAATGGTTAAAAAAAAAAAAGAAGAAGAAGAAAGCGCTCAAAGAATTATACTGCTGGAGTATTTAATTACTGGTTTGAAGTGTAAGCAATAGTACGTAGGTAGGGGAAATCAACAAGCATTGATGAACAGCGGGCAAATTTTTGCTCACTGTAAAGATGTATATGTATGAAGAAATATATACTAGTGGCGGCTACAAAATCCATCATCATATATCATGCCCCTGCTCTCTGTACTCTACTATTACTTCGCACAACAAGACCCCCCCACCTCTCTCTACACCGAGACTCGATCAAAAGAGGGAGGAGACTTTAATTTTTGCTATAAGGACCTTTATTCAATTCAATCATACCTACTAGCTACAATTCAATTTTTAAAGATGAATTACTTTTTTTTTTTTTTTATGATGTGAAAGTTTATGTTATGTAAAATTTTCCAAGTACTCTATACATATCTATTAACGGACGGAGAGCGCATTTGCAAGTGATTCATTCATAATTCTAAAAGGACATCCTAATCCCATTAAATGTTGCATTGCGTCTTCACACCGTGAAGGGATAAGGAACCATCAGAATTTTCTCCAGATTTCCTGGCCACGTCAAAACAAAAGAAGATCTCTCCACCCTCCCAACTTTTCCTAAAGGCAAAATCTCAACTGTCCCCCCCCCCCCCCCCCCTTAAAAACACAACACTTCTGCACCTCCTCCTCCTCCTTTCTCCCCATCCCCCCTCGGGGACCTCACATTCTTCCCAACCCACAAATCCCATCACTGTCTCTTCGATCCAGACACATAAATATATCATTATTCATACATACACATCTCCTGTTGGGCATGCATATACATATACATATATATTTTACCACTTCTGTCCGTACCACTACCCCATATGTTTTTTTTCTGCTGCGAGTAAGTAACCTATCTATGTATATGTACAGAGTAGTACAATTTCCAGTGGTGTGGTGATGAGAAACAAGAAAAATGAACAAAGGCAAAATTTCAAAAAAAAAGGCCAAGGTGTAGAAGCCTCGAATGATATGTGGGGATATGATAGCAGAGCAGCAATACACGCGGGGATAATCATATTGATCATCATTCATTCATAGGGGAATTACAGAAAGCATAGAGAGACTTGGCTCGTCCGTCCATATTTACAGTACGGAGTGGAGTGACATTTTATGGAATGGGGAAATACATACAAATTTACTTACATATCATCCCACGATACCAACTTTCATCACAATTTATATAATATAATAATAATAATAATAAAAACCCGGAATAAGTTAAATAACACAACAATCTTCTTCAGCTGCTGTTAGTCTGTCCGCTTAAAGTGCTACCCAGTCCCTTCTTGGCAGTTTTGATGAGCAGCCCAAAAACACCACCCAATCTTTCTTTCCACCCAAGACAACAGAATCTGCCTACTCTCTCCAGTCTTCATCACCCTCCAAGCCAAGCACCATTTTTGGTACTGCTCTTTACTATATATATATATATTTCATACTTCTACTAATTAGTAATTACCACCGCTTGTATGTACAGAATTCTTTTTTTTTTTTTTTTTTCATCTTAACCTTCCCTGCTTCGCTCTTCCCCGAAAAATTATACGGTCACATGCTGGGGAGAGAGGCGCCAAATCTAAAGCCCACCTTAAATCAACAAAATCATTACTAATGAATACCCAAAAACAACACGCTTCATCATGTCCAGACCACCTCCAGCTCTTCACTGGATCAGATCCGACACCCACCCAACATCCGGATTCGGGGGGGCATCAGACGGCTTCGGATCCACCCAATCCAAGGGATTCTCTTTGCTCAGTTTCTGGAATATCTTGGCCCTCAAATCCCTCCCGGACTCCACCCTCTCCATCATTGGCTCCTCTTCGCCCCCTCCCTTGTCCCAGTTGTCAAAGTATCGCATCCCGTTCCGGCCCACCGTCCTCGTCGGGGTCGATGGCAAGCTGTAGGAACCAGGCCGGGTCATGACCGCCCTGGGCGTCCCGGATCCCGAGCCACCCGCCTGCAAGGCCCAAGAAGACGGCACGGACTGAACCTTATTCAGCTGCAGCTGACGCAGTGACGCCATGATCTCACTGACCGAGTTGGAACCCAAGGACCGACTCAGAGAGCTCATGGAGGTGGAAGTCGTCATCGGAGACATCGGTGGCGACTCGGACGGCGGCGAGCCCGATTCCGGCGACGACATGAACTGCAGCGCCTTGCCAAAAGACGCCTCCAGAGCAAGTCGATGAGGAGACCCGTCGTACGAATCAGCGCGTGGGCTGAGAACCCTCAGTTGCTCCGGCGAGTGAGCAAAGAAACACACCCTACGCTTACAATTAAGCCCATCCTTGCATGGCTGCGTACGATAGCGAGCAGGGTGGAGCCAGCACTCAAATACGCCGTGTGCGAACTCGCAAGCGTCACCTTTCTTACAGCTCCCCTTACGAAAATCCGGGCATGCAGTGCCGGAATAATGATACTTGCGCGGGTCCCTCCGGCGAGCTTTTTCTCCCGGATGAGCGTACGGACACTCGGTCCAGTCATGCGACCTGCCACGCATGCACTTCCTCACTTTAAACTCGAACATGCGGAAGTGATCGCATGAGTAGGCGTCCACCGGAAGATCCAAGTCTTTCCCGAAACCGTCGTCGTTTTCAGCGGCGTCGAGATCCTCCAGTACAAGATCAGTCAAGTTTGTTTTAAGGTTGGACGGCAGAAAACGTTGGAGGGCCGTGAGAACATCGGTCTGGAGGCAAAAGGAGTAGTCATCGAAGCTGGGGCTAGAGTGAGCATTGGCATTAGGGCTCAAGGTCATAGAAACATCGGCCGTTTGATCATCGGCGAATGACGCCGGCCATGGAGGAACGTGGACAACTGGGTTTGGGTGGTTTCGCTCTCCGATCATCATTTTTTCGTGGGGTGATTTTCAGTTGCGTTGATTTTCTTTCTGGATGATGGATGAGGGCAGCGGTTTCTTTCAGTCGGTATATAAACAGCAGGGAAGTAGTGGGGTTAAATCATGGTTGGGTTAGGCTAACCCTGGTTCGGTTAAAATACTGTGAGCTATGCCTATGCATTACTGATGCGGTCAAAAATAGTGGGATTTGCTAAGCTGACATCTTGGAGCCGAGCAGACTAGTTCGTTGTTGGGCGCGTGTAATAATGTTAATGGAGGGTGGATAGAGTGGTTGGCTGTGATTTAGCTGTGATGAACTGGACGGGTGACAGCCGGGTATTATAAGGTTGTCTGGTTAACTTTTTTTAAAAAAAAATTTTAAACCGACGGCTGATAGAGTTCCAAAGGCGGTGGAGTGGGAAATGGACTAGAGTAAGACATGTAGAAAGAGTTAAAACTATAAATGCCCCAGAAATTAATTAACTTAATTGAAGTAACTACACTCCTATTTGTCATTTGCCTCTAGTCGGGTGGTTTTTAGGAGCTAGAAAGGAAAATTATATGCTAACCATTGGATGAATGACATCTCCATCCCTAGACTTCTATGCTAACCACGACTCTCTTTTTGGTTTTTGGAAACCACCTAGGCAATTAATTCTCTTGTCTCATTCTTATATTTTAGATTAGAAAAGCTTTTAAAGAGTAAGTAATTAATTGAATTTGAAGAAAATCGCATTTCTCGACTTTCTTGTGGCCTCCATATTAAGACTTTTTTTTGGATTATATTTTTCTGAAATATTTTTATAAAAAAATTATTATATTAATTTAATATATGTAAGATAAAAAGGTGGTTGAAAAATATGTTTACGAAAAAAACGTAACAAATTTTTCCTTGAAAATTTGCTTTCCAAACAAAGTCTAAGATTCTCTGCATTTGCCCGCTTCCCCTGTCACGACAAGAGCGTGGATTCTCTGCCATTAGTGTTTTAATCGTAGATAACAGTCAATTGGGTTGATTAATTTGATTTAAAATTACGTGGATGACATTTAATGTGAAACGCGATTTTTAAAGAATGTCAAAGTTTATTTTATATATTTATACATTATTATCTTAATATCTACAATTGTTATGTTAGTGTCTATAAATTTTTTTTTTCAATGCATTTTAGTGTTTTGGTGCCAACGAATAAATTAGTATGCCAAATTTATTCTTCAATTAGTATACTGGTTACCCTGCCATTGAAAGGAAATTCGATGAGATAAATTGTGGTTAACGTGAAATGACTGCTATCTTTTCCTTAGTAGTGGAATATGTTTGTTTTGAGGGATAAATGGAGAATCACCATTGATTGTTTTTTTTTTTTCCCCTTTCTCTAAAAGGTAAGTATATCATATGTGTTTTGAGCTGCTGTGCAGTACTAATCTTATTTCCAAATGGCAGGAATAACTTACTTGCATCCCTTCCTTTATCTTGGGTACGAAATGTCTTGGATGTAATTTACTTTTTTTCATTGCATTAATTTTGAAGCACCTAAATTTTTTGGAGGAGTTATTTTTGGGTTGAGAGAGAAGGAACAATGAGTTATTTTTTTCATATGTACAACTAAGAACAAGTGCTGGCTGCCTCCAATTATAAGAGCACATTAGTTCTCCGTGTTAAAATTTGGAGTTAAGGTGGCGTTTGATAAAATTGAAGTTTGAATCTATTAAATTGTTAAATATTAAATCAAATGTATTTGGATGCATATTTCATTTAGGTTCCGTTTGATAAAACTGAATATGAATTCTGAAGTCTGAAATTTGAATATTGAGATAATTAATTTGCTGAATTTTAAGCACTGAAAAGAAATATATGAATGCCTGGATTTTAATGATAAACCTATTTATATTGTTTGATAAACATTTATAACTGAATGCTTAATAAGTTAAATTTGACAAATTTGTCCAAATATCTTGTCATCCAAAAAAGAAATAAAACCTATCATTTAATTAGCTAAAAATATTAGGTATGAAAATGACAATATTAATTTTTAAGTCAAATTAATATAAAAGATGAAATATATTATATGAAAAGTATGGAGAATATGTGAAAACCATTCAAAAAGGAGAAAAAAGAAATAGAAAATCATTAGATAGAAAAGATTACATTATTTAATTAGATAAGAATTTTGAACATAATTAACAAACAAGGGTTGATTTGATAGATAAAACAAGGTAATTGAAGTAATTCTATTGATTCTTATCAGAATTAAGCATTCAGTTAGAATTCTTGTACTGAAAAAAAATATACACAAGTTGAACACTACTTAACAAGTTTAGCAAATGGATTTTCATTTATCAAACACTCAAAACATCTGAATGTCTGAAAAAATTTAGATTCAGCATTTTTTTATGTTATCAAACAAACCTTTAGTGATAAGTAATTTCGAGCACAAATTTTATCTAAAAAATTTTATATTATTTAATTAATTCAAATATTTAATTTTAACTCCGTTGACTGACAACCAACAGGAATTACATACACTTCACTTCAGGAGGTATTTTTATCCATTTTACACTTGAGGTGAAATGAATGGTGATGTGTACCTCGATTGGCAAATCGTAAAAGCCCCCAAACCTCAGCACACGTAATCCGACTGTCTGTCTAATTTAATAAGAGGGGTTTGAGTTCTCGGTACGTATTTTTGTTTCCTTTTTGGTTTCTTGAAAGCCGAGAGGAGGGGAGAGTCGGAGAGGTGATCAGAATAATTCGTCAATTGCCGCCGCGTGGCGGTAGCGTTTGGAAGATAAACCTGGATGACATGTCGAGATAAAGATTAAACAAATAATGGATCTCAAATTAGTAGGAGACGGTACAAAGATACAATTAGTAGGACCGAAATGGTAAAAGCTGTGGATGGATCTCTTCTTCTCTGATAAATGCATGTGCAGCAGCGTACTGGGCTCAGACTCTTTTTCTCCTGGTGGAAGAATAATTACTTAAAATAGCTAAAGTTAAGGATGTGTTTGGATTATATTTTTTTAGATTTTTTATAAAAAAAAATTACTATAGCGATTTGATACATGTGAGATAAAAAGTGATTGAAAAATATTGAAAACGTAGCGATTTTGTTCTTTAACAAAATTAGAAAGAGAATGACGGTGGGACAAAAATAATGAAAAAAGAAAAAATGCTTGCTGTTTTAGCACACTGGGATGATTTGAACCGGATAACGGAAGGAAAGAACTCGGACAATTCATGGCAAAAAAAAAAAAAAAAAAAAAAAACCCCCCCTGGTGAAACAAAATACAGTACTGTCTCTAACTAATTTTCCATCGTCATTCATTCCCCTAAACCATATTAAATCTTCTCATAACTTCAAAATCGATTTTTCAGTCTCAATCTGTGTACCGGATACTGCGTCTGAGACTGCAGCAAAACAAACAGTAAAAGAAAGCATTGTCAACATTTTTTATGTCGAATGCAAATCTATCAAATGAGGCTTTTATTTTTTGTTCTGCTTAAAGTTATTCACTTATTTTTATGCCTCGCTGAAACCCAAAGTCTTTTAGAGCATAAGTTTTATTCGAGGTGCTCGATATCTATAAGAGTGTTTTCGTATTTCACAATAGGAGCCGGAACGCTCGCCTTGTTTGGAAAGGAATTTTTTATTAAAAAAAATATTTATATTTTTTATAAATATATGTTTTAATCACTTTTTTATTTCAGATATATCAAATCATTAAAATACATTTTTTACAAAAAAAAATTTGCAGGAAATTGCAATCTAAACACAGTATCTTGAAATTCAACGTATTCCTGCCGCAATGCTCTATAACTTGAGAAGCTAGGCTTCAAGTTAGTTGACTTGTCTCTTGAGGCCAGTCCACATTAGAAATATCATCTTCAATCAATCACCGGAATAATTTACCTGTTCTAGGAAGGAATTAAAAGCGGATTGGGATCAGATTTTGGCTAATGGCAAAAAGTTGATCTTCTTTTGATGAACGTCTAAAGGGGTGTGGGATGCATAGATTCGCCCTCTCCCGTTTCCACGTAGCCTTAAAGAGACGGCTCGTCTTAAAAAACTAACTACCTCCACCTCTATTTAGTCCCTTCGTTACGCAGTAAGGTGGTTATGAATATAATTGTCTCGTCGCCGTCAAAGTTGGAAGTTCAATTTTCAACGGCCCGAACATGTTCAATGCTCGGTGATGAACAATTGGCATGACTAGAACTGTGAGGCAGGAAGTTAATTTTAATTTTCCCCCTCATCAAGGAGATAGACCTGGCGTGACTATAGAAGGAATGATGACAATGCGGGCTCGACATCAAAAACAAAAACTTGGATATTAATATATTTGCCTATAGTACTTAAAAATTTTTCTTTCACAAGTTAACCAAACATTTCTTTCCTCGACATTTGCAGTCCCGTCATTTGTTTTATCATATAACATAATAAATAGATAATATATGATTAAAAAGATAGTAAAAATGTAATTAATAAAAATGAAAGTACAGATAACATTTCCCATAAAAAATCAGTCAAGTCGAACAGAACTATTATTATCATGTTAACGCTACTAATTCGTTATTTGATCACCACTTTCATTTTCACGTGCGACATAAGAACATATGGAAAAATTTTATATTGCTCCGAAGCACTATAATGGCTATTTTCTAACCAATAAAAGTGTTCCACGTAGAATATAGCAAGTGGATTCCACTTTATAATAGAGCGTGAATTAATAAATGGGATCTTCATACATTCATGTGAAGTTTTTCTATCAGTTCTTAACAAATTATTATACATGTTTAGCAATTGCTCTGATACGTACATTAAAGCAGAGTACACGTGACACGTGACCGTTTCGACTTTTTTTTTTTTTTTTTTCACTAACGGCACGCACATCTAACCTAACCTAATCTACTCCTACTTCTAAGAGGGGGGATTTATTTTTTAAGGGAAGCGACTCTAGAAAGTGGGCCAATTGAGTCGGAGAAACCTGACAGGTCTGATCAGACGTGACTGTTTCGACTTTGAAAAAAAAATAATGAATGTTGAATGTTAAGGTGAACTATATAACCTTGTCGAGTTTCCTCGGAGCCGGCATTCAGATGCTACATTACATCCCACTTTTAGAAATAGGGGTATTGTGTGTTTCTGCTTTCTCCTTTGAGGTAAGAGTATGGACGGACAAAGTTAGCGCTGTCCGGCT